CCAATAAGTTTGCTGAACATTATAAGCAAACTATACGCAAGGCACCTACTAGATAAACTCCTGGATTGGCTCGAAGTAGAAAATATCATTGGGGCAGAACAAGCAGGCTTTTGGCCAGAGAGATCCACAATAGGTCAATGCCTAATTATACAACATCTTCTTGAGAAATACTTGGCCAAAGGAATAACTTCATTCTATGCCGCCTTTGTGGATTTTAAATCAGCATTCGACTCTATATCTAGAATACACCTCTGGGACAAATTAACAAACTCACCCATAGACAAAAGACTTTTATATTTAATCAGGGCCCTACATGAAGAAACATACCTGAGAGTCAGGTGCAACAGACAAGGACACCTCACAGAATCTGTGCAAACACACAGAGGTGTTAGACAAGGCTGCCTACTGGCACCAGCATTATTCATCCTTTATATAAATGATCTATCAAACTGGCTTACCACCACTGATCTCCATTCCTCTAAACTTGGAGACAGAACAGTGCCCGTTCTGCCCTGTTTCCCCAAAAATAAGACCTAACCTGAAAATAAGCCATCATGCAATTTTTCAGAATGCTTATAATATAAGCCCTACCCCAAAAATAAGCCCTAGTTAAGTGAAACCCTGCCCTCCACCACTGTACAGCAACCAGAAGATGACATGACTGTAAAATAAAACATCCCCTGAAAATAAACCCTAATGCATTCTTGGAGCAAAAATTAATATAAGACCCTGTCTTATTTTCAGGAGAACACGGTACTCTATGCTGATGACACAGTAATTCTATCCAGAACCCCCATAGGGTTGAGGACGGCACTTAAGAAGCTCACCTCCTACTGTGAAAACAAATCCCTGACTATTAACTATCAGAAGACCAAGATAGTTGCCTTCGGACGTAGACCTAAGATTCAATCATGGCAAATAAATGGACACGGTATTGAGCAGGTGAACAACTTCAAATATCTGGGTGTAGTTCTACAGGCCTCAGGATCTAGTCTTCAGCATAGTAAATATGCGGCAGATCAGGGAGAAAGATCGGCAAATAGTACAGTAAAATTCCATCTCTCCCAAGGATGATCCTTTATACCAGTAGTCCTCAAACTCTATCATCTCTCCCAAGGAGGATCCTTTATACCAATAGTCCTCAAACTCTACAAAGCAAAGACTTTACCTCAGCTGTTGTACAGCTCATTCATGGGGCCACCCAGCTCTCACTTTGCATCACAAGAAATAGTTCAATCTAAATTTCTAAGAACTATACTCCAGGTCCCAAGATGCATGTCAAATGCAAGGATAAGGCTAGAAACAGGATGTCTTAAAGTAGAAGCCTGGATTAAGATCCAATCTATATATATGTGGCTAAAGGGACAGTTACATCCAAAAGGCCTATTTTCTTTGATATTTAACAATAATTATCAATCAAAGTGGGTCAAATCTGTCCAGGGTTACTTGGGAAAAATTGGCCTCTCACCCCAGGCATTTATATCTTCTGGATTACAGCAGGCAAAACAAATAGTCAAACAAGAATAGAGGACAACGAACATCAAATAGATCTCTCTAGCATTCAAAACATGGCTGTAAGGAGCTACTGTACATCAAAAACTGTATGGAACTGGCCAAACACTTAACATCTCTGGAAATTAAAAGAACTAGAAGAGCCTTTACCTTGATAAAGTATTTGGCCCTCCCCTCTGCTGTACTAGAAGTATAAAAATACTCCCTTTGCTGAAAGGTTATGTTCCTGCCACCTGAAGGAGATCAAGACCATACAACATATGTTTTTCACCTGCCCATTGTATGACATAGTGTGTAAAGAGACTATTACCCACTTAACAGAAAGAATCCCAGGACGTTCAGAGGGAAACAGGCTTGAGTTCCTTCTCTCGGATGTTGATACGCAGATCACCTGTCAAGCTGTGAAATTCTGTGCAGCAATACTTTGATTGCGGAAGTCAAATTCCGTATGCATGCTAACATGTTCTAATGCAGGGGTCTCAAACATGCGGCCCGGGAGCCATTTGCGGCCCGCCGGATGATAGTTTGTGGCCCCCGCCTTGCCTGCCCCCCTGGAGTGCCCACATGTCCTCTGCTGTCAAGAGTCAAAAAAGCCTCACCTCGCTCACTGGCTGTCTCCCAAGACAGCGCCTCTTGCACCCTCCATCCGGAACTGCAGCCTACCAGCCATCTCGCCTGAGTGTGCCTTTTTTTGATTCCATCCAGAACTGCAGCCTGCCAGCCATCTCACCTGAGTGTGCCTTTTTTTGATGAGGGGCCTCAGAGGAAGGTTGCTGGACCTCTGTGTGTGTGTGTATGCGCGCACACCTGTGGGGGCTCACCCCATTCTGTCTAATATTGCGGGTACCAATGGAGGCTTTTCTCCTTTGGCAAGGTGTTTCTGTAAGGTTTTAAAAAATTATGTCATGCCCTCCTCCCCCCGTCGGTGCTCCCTTCCTTCTCCGCTTCTTCATCCTGCTGTTGCTGGTGGTGGTGGTAGTGAAGAAGGAGCTGGAGGGGGTCGTGGCTGGTGACGAGGGCTCGCTCGCCTCTCCTTTTCCTCCTCGGAGCCCCTAGGGCTCTTGCTCCGCTTAGCGGAAAATCTGATGCAGCCCAGCCTCACCCAGACTCTGCCTCCAGTGGCCCACAGGTAAATTGAGTTTCAGACCCCTGTTCTAATGGAATATTGAAAGTTAGAAATTATAAGGTTTTATAAGAAGACTCCCTGGAAAAGACCCTGATGTTGGGAAAATGTGAAGGCAAGAGGAGAAGAGGACGATAGAGGACGAGATGATTGTACAGTGTCACTGAAGCAACCAACATGAATTTGACCAAACTCTGGGAGGCAGTGGAAGACTGGAGGACCTGGCGTGCTCTGGTCCATGGGGTCACAAAGAGCCAGACACAACTTAACAAGTAAACAACAAAATACATATGTCACTGGTCTAAATATTGTAAATAAACTATTATATTCTTAGAACACCACATTAATGTGATCATATCAAAAGTTATATTCACCAAGAATATAGTATACTGTACTTCAGCAAGTTGACGTTTCAATACACGATAGCCCACCAGCACTAGAATACATGTTAATACATCTTTTTGTCATGTGTTCAACTCATTATAAAGACACCCTGTACAATTAAATGAAAAACCTTTTTAAAGGGGATTTAAATGTGTCTTTAAATATGCAAAACAAATAAAAACAGTTTTGAAGGAACTGTGCAGATACACATTGCACAAGAAAGTAATGCAAGGTTTCAAAGACATAAATAAGTACTATGGTGACTAATTCCATATAGAGTGACTGAAATGCTTTCACAAAACCAAGTATTTAAGATACTGTATTAACTAAAATCAGTTAGAAGATACAGGTATTTTCAAGTAGTCAAAATGTATATGGTTTCCTAAGTACATCAATAAGGTCTTGGGTCTCTATAGCCCCATCTCATACACACATACTGTATATGATAGCCAACAACTTATGACTGTATGAACAAACCAGATTTACCAAAAAAAGCATGAGAGGTAACTAAACATCTCAAGGATTCAAGTTATAAAGACTGTGCAGCTTGCACGGTAAAAGAATACGGCTCTAAAAAAAGTTTAGTACAGAGCACCTAGTTTCTAGTGATTTCAAGGCACTTGACATTTTGTCTCAGCAGAACTAGTAAGGGGCTATATCTGGGCCATTTGTGTGAATGTAAATACACCCTAAAAGACTTGACAACTACTGGTTATTAATCTTTAACACAAATGAAATTCAAATAGTGACACACATCTGAGGTGGACGGGATAATTCAACCACAATCCCCATGGTTCAATAAAATGTTCAGACTTCCCTGATGAAACAGCCTATAAGGTCTCCTTTCTTAGTGCTGCGTCAAAGAAAAATGTGGTTACAGCATGCAAAATAGTTTTTGAAGAAAGCGTTTCTAAACGAAAGCCCTCCCCATAGGTTTATCATGAGAGAGGGGAGATCTACTCCTACACTGACACCAAAGTAAAAACATTTTAAAATAGGAAATATTTCACCGTTGCTGAGACGCTGTATACGTGTGTGATTTTTTTTCTCTCCTATTTATCGATTACACAAAAGAAAAACCCAGCAGGGGCTGCTGCAATGCAACACACGGCGATTTTAGAGAAACGCTTTTTCGCGTCTCCGCCTTGAATTCTCTAGCTGTGGCTAACACCTAGGTGATTGCAGATCTTGTTTTCCAACACGAATAAAGGACACTGGAAATAGCCTAGGCTGCCCCCTTCTCTTTCCGGCCCCGATAGTCTCCCCGGCAAAGAAAGAAAAAGAAAAGAAAAAAGAAAAGGCTGAATCTCACCCCCTTTAAACGAAGTGGTCTCACCTCTCTCTGTCTCCCTCCTTCCCTCTTGCGCACCCCCAAACCGTCTTTCTCAATCCTCGTTTGCAACAAAAGCTCTGCACGCCAGATGAGCCATTATTATCCCTATGGACACACACACCATCCGCGCAAGCCCATTCCCCCTCTACCGGCAAACACATAGAGACGAGCACAAAAACTTCCCACACTTTCTAGGGAACTGAACAATTGGGGGACAGAAAGAGAGAAAGGAAGCCGACGACAAAACCGTGGGAATTCAATGGGGAGGGAGAAATAAATGCGTGACGGGGCGGGAAGGGGGGAGGGACCCCGGGGCGCGCGTTCCCCACTGCGGCTCCTTCCCTCCGACCCTATCGGCACACCCCGGATCCCGCCCGAGGCTTCCCCCCCTCAGGGTCTCCCCCTTCCCCAACTCGTCAGGGCTTCCCCCTCCAGCTTCATTGAGAAAAGCCCCCTTCCGTAACGACCCATGAGGCTTCTCCATTCTCAAGCGCCAGCCTTTCCCTTCCTCCACCGCCACAACCCCCCACCTTTAAAAGGGACACATCGAGGGAGTGAACAAGGCCCCCCTCCTCCTCCATAATGGCTTCCCTCCTTCGAGGGAGGGGGGAAAAAGAGACACGGCGAGAGCCCTCCCCCCCTCTTCACCTCATGTTGCTGCCCAAGGTCCGGGGGGGCGCTCTCCCCCCCCCGCCCCACTCCTCGCACTCTCCTCTTCTCCGAAGCCGGCTGGGTCGTTTTCAAGAGGCGACGTCGAGTGAGGGAAGGAAGGAGGAGGAGGAGGAGACGACGACGAAGGAGAGGGGAGGGGGGTGTCCTCCTCAGGCGCCAGCCAGTCCCTTGCCTTGGCAACCCTCGCAGACTGACTCGCCCGCCTGCGCCCTCCGAGTCGGCTGCTCGGCCCAACCCGACCACAGCGGGGAGTCAAAGAAGTCAAGGAGAGAGGGTAGGGAAGGAGGAATGCTCGGAGCGGAGCGGGGTGGGGAGGGGGAGGAGGAGCAGTAGAGGACCCAACGGACACGCCAGACTGACGCGGGGAAGGAGGGGAGAACAAGACAAGAGGAAAGAGAGTCAGAGAACAACGCGCAAGCAGCTCCCTCAAGACACCGGCTCGGAGAGGGGGAAAAACCAGGCGCGCGAGGCGGGAGGGGGGCGCGTACGCCGCGCGGTGGCGGCGGCGGCGGCAGCAGGCACGCAGAGGGGACGCCAAAGGGGGCGGAGCGAAGAAAGCCGCGCCTACTTTGCTGGTCTGCATTCCCTAAGCGTTCCATGCGGGTTCTAACGCCGAGGGAGGGAAGGCAAGCAGGCAGGCATGGAAACGGGGCTCGCTCGGCCAACTAGGGAAGAGAAGGACTATCCCCATCATCACCACCACCGCCGCCTCCGGGATGAGCGAATGCTCTTTGGCGACCCCTGCTGCTCACCTCGCCAGTGATTCCCTTGCACCCCTCGGCGTGTCTGTGTGCGTGAGGGGGACGGGCTCTCTTGCCGTCCCTGTCCGCTCTTAGTACGCGGGGGTTCCTTTGCACACCTAGGTGTGTGTCGTCTGTGTGGCACGCCAGTCACGCTCCCCTTTCCTCTTTGGTACGCGATGGTCACACTCCCCAACCCTGACAGAAGCCTTAAATCCGCAGAGGGGCTATTATTCCTGAATAAATTGTGCGTTGTTATGACACCGGTGTGGAGGAGGATTGCAGAGTTCCCTTTTAAAACCGCGTTTCCATCCTCTTTGCCTGACCTTTCTTACACTGTATACTTCATTCGTTAATAGCTGCCAGCCGTTTGGGTTACTAAGGCCACGTGGACTGCATATATTACTGCTTGAGCCTCTAGTTACTATTCAATCTTTTCTCCAAGAGACCTGCCTTGAATTCCTCATTATCAAATCATCCCATTGTTTTTCTGCTTACCTGCAGATCGTGCCCTTTGTAATTCAATTGGCATTAAGACTGAATTTCTGGGGGCGATCTTGGCATTCTTCCTCCGTATACCTCCTATACATACAGATCCGAAACTAGCCATTTTAGAAATGAGGGCATGCGGCACATCTTCTATTCACTTTGCTGCAAAACATGGGCATGATGTCCCCATGAAAAAGGAGGAGAATGCATGATGGTCCTCCAAAAAAAAGTTTATGCCTTCAAGAAAAGGAAAGTGATTAGGTCAGGAGGTGTTGCCACTTATTTTCCTAACATTCAGAAATAGATTCACCTTTAGACTTGGTGTCCCAGTGGCTCCACCTTAGTGACATCCCTGCATACATACCACTATCCAACTAAATGCTTCCAATGTCAAATAGGATTTCTGTTTCAGCTCTGATCACCTTGGTTTCATTTCTGTGGCATAGTCTGTGAGAAGTGCACATTAAAATAGAGACACTGATGCATCTATATTTAGGATAATATGCTACGCCTGCAGCAATGCTGAAACATTTGTTTGGACATCCTCATTTATTCCAATAGGATCCATTCATAGTGCCTATACTTAGGTTCACACCCTGCAGTGCCATGCTCCTAAACTCAGTGGTAGCAAGGCAGCATCATTGCTATAAAGAAACTGCATTTGGTTGCATCCATATGTTCCAGTTTATATACCAATTCAGTGTTTCTTTTTTAAAACAATTGAACAGACCATGCTCCCGAGTAACTACATGAGGACAGTTATATAAAAATAGAAAAAAAACACTGTCCACAGAAGAATGAGTCGTTTTGTCTGAAGTCTAGCAAAGGTGTTCTAAAAAGTGCAGACTATTGTGTCTTGGTTGCAAAGTTGACTTAAAAGTCTAATTTTAAGCCATGAATAATTCATACTTTCTCTCCCTCCAACTCATCAAATTTTTAAAAAACGCTCTGATTGATATTTACTCTGTTTTCTGTATGACTGTGTAAAAGAATGGCATATGTATTCTTCAAGGAGAAAACCATACCAGCTGTTTCTGTATTATTGCTCTACAATAGTGCAGCAATAAATATTGTGCAACCAAGCAAATCAGCATTCCGTAAGGCAATTCTAAAAATGAGGACATCCCAAACAAAATAAAAAATCTAAACTTTGAAACTGGACCTCAGATCACCACCAAATCTGGCACACATATAACAGACAATATGCTCTTGCTCTGTGGCAAGATATGGGGGCGAGAGGGGGGGTTGGACAGAGAGTTTTTGAGTTATTATTTTTAAGTAAATCTGTTTTAAGCCCCTATCGAGACTCCAGTGCCTTTTTTGTCTGCAGACTTAAAACAAATCAAATACATTTAAAATACCAAACCTACTCATCTTAAGAGAATGGTGAATTCCAGGTGCTTTTTAAACATTTATTTGAAAGGAATCCGTCGTTTAGTCGTGTCCGACTCTTCGTGACCCCATGGACCAGAGCACGCCAGGCCCTCAGGGGCTATAATACTAACTGTGAAAAATCCATTTCAAAGGGGGAAACCCTCTCTGGCTTTCTTATAACAGAGTGGTTATCAGCACCAACCTTCTGAAAAACAATTGTATCAGCTTGAGAACAGTTAAGAGATCTGAACTTTTGACTCTGCCAGTCATGACCAAGTTAAATGACTCTCAGGAAGAGAACTTTTAAACTCTTTCCTTACAACATAAACATTAAAACTAGTTTTTGTTTCTGGCATTAAAATATTTTTAAAAATATTTTAAAAATAGAGAATAAACATTCAGAAGCTCACTTTTTTAATCTGTGAAAATGGATTTTTTTTCTTTGTGACCAAAGATAATCTTACAAAGCTTTGGCTCCTATTCCACCCATCTTGTGGAATACTATTGTTTGGTAATTAAGAAAAAACCCTCCAAAATGCTATGTACCATCAAGTCACTTCTCATGTATAGTGACTAAATGAATTAATGATTTCTGAAATGCCCTATCTCTGCTCAGATCTTGCAAACCAACAGTATCTCATGCTAAGTTGTTCTCTATTCCTATCGTCATGCCTTCTTACCAGTATTGTCTTTTCCATTAAGTTCTGCTCAGAGCTTGCAAACTAACAGCTGGTGTTTCCTTTGTTGAGTCAACCCATCTCATGTTAGATCCTCCTCTTTTCCTACTAATCCACCCCACTTTTCCCAGAAATACTGTTTACAGTACTTCTTTATTTCCATTATATGTGCATGGTACATTAGTAGCATGGTAGGGTAGGCTCAGTTTACTCAGTTTTGCTCTAGTGAAAGTACAGGCTTGACTTGATAGAGCACCCAACCTTTCTGTTTTTCTGGCTGTTTGTTGTTTATGTACAGCTCTTCTCCAACACTAAATTTCAAATGAGTTGATTTTTGGCTGTTTCTTTCACATAGCATGGATGAGTTAACCTTGGTTTCCAGTGACGTTCTTTGTGAAATCCAACCTCTTCCTTCTTTTTTTTTAATTTCAAAAGGCAAAGGGACATCTTTTGGAAAACATGCCTACAATATGTCCATTGAGCTTTTGATACAATGTTTTTTCAGCCTGCCTGACTCAAGCCAGAGTTTGAAATTGGAACATACAGTATTTTTATAGTCTGTATTCTGCAGAGCAGGCATGGCAACATTAGTTTACCCAAGATGTGTTTGCTTATCCATTGCATGTGTACCTACTCATTTCTTTAATTCACCATTTGACGAAGTCCAAAACAGCTTTTTAAAATATTTTGGCACAGAGGGACTGCAGCCACAACCAACCTCTTCTTCTGTTTTCTCCCAGTAACCATAGTACAGATCGTGAGTTCATCTTCTGGAATCCTGGCTCTGCTTGTTGGGAAGCGATTGATAGGGGCTTATTTATCTTTGTAATTGAGCATACTTATGTATGAATTGGGGACATGGTGTGGATTAAACCGCAGAAGCCTTTGTGCTGCAAGGTCGGAAGACCAGCAGTCGTAAGATCAAATTCATGCAATGGAGTGCGTCCCCGTTGCTTGTCCCAGCTCCTGCCAACCTAGCCATTCGAAAGCATGCAAATACAAGTAGATAAATAGGTACCACAATGGTGGGAAAGAAACGGCATTCCGTGTCTAGTCAAGCTGGCCACGTGACCACGGAAACTGTCTATGGACAAACGCTGGCTCTCCGGCTTGGAAATGGGGATGAGCACCGCCCACTAGAGTCAGACACGACTGGAAAATACACACGCACACACACAAAAGAATTTTCTTTGTGGTGTAAACCTTGAATCATTTATTCTCAAATGCCACATGAATGTTCTTCAAACTTGATGTTACAATGCCCCAAGCACTCAGTGTTCAGAAAACTCAAAGCTATGTTGGACATAAATCAACAAAGGTCCATTGATTTCAACAAAGTTATAGTATCTTGCTCTAGACCAAAATTGTCATCTAGATCATAAAGCAAAGCTAATATAGGGGTGGAATGATTCTAAGTGGGGCAGGGGAAGGAGCGAAGTGGTAAATCATGCAGCATTTCCCACTGGTTAAGGCAAGTGTTGGTGTGTGCGTGTAAGAGAGAGAGATTAACCCACCTTTTTAAAGCCTCTGTGGTGGATGTCTTTACAGTATATGTTTTCCCTGTCAATTTCAATAGAAGACAGTATACCTGCACCAGCTTGGCTTCAGTGATTGGCTAAAGACTGGGAATCCTGAGGACTATTGAGAGGCCTTGAGTCCAGCAGCATCTTTCCATCTCCATAATGCCTCAATTTAGGATATATCACTAGAAAAATTACTGCTAAGAATAGATCTGATCCTGCAAGAAGATTCACAAGTGCCTCATAGGCTGCTTGGTTAGACATTTCCCATCTCTAGCAGAACTCTTCTGGGTCAATGGAGGGCATTATCCACCAACATCCGAATCCTGTCCAGCCAACAAACCAAGTGTTTTTCTGCCTCAGATTTTATACTTGGCTTGATGGCTGTCAGAGGTTGTGTCACAATCAGATTTATTTATTTATTTACATACTTATTTAGTTTGTTGGTTCTGACCTCCTATGACTGAGCATTTGCTCCTTCAATCTGAATACTCCTGTTTGGCTTCTGCTGCCATGGGCTCTGCTTGTGGTTTATTTAGTGTGATATCAAAATGCAAAACCCTGGCTTGTTCCTGAGAGCCAAAATTTCTTCTGGGATTATTAATCAGGCTTATTAGAAGAGTGTCATGCTAAGCAAACCATGGAGAGACCTGCACTTCTTTAGCCACTTCTGCTGGCAGGTGGAAACAAGCAGAAATAATCAAGCAGCATGAATCAGCACATTTGGCTGCTCAAGTTAACTGAGATATTTGTTTTAATTGGCCTATTGTGGTATCTGAACTTCCAGTCTGTATTTTGGCACAAATTATTGGAACAGTTTTCCTTTCTCTCTGAGATTTCTGCATTCAGTTTAATTTTTGTTATGTATAATTTAGTTGGACATCTACTTTTGGGTTGATTTATACGCCACCTTTCCACCTGTATTAACTTATAATATAAAGTATAGGGCTATATCTAATTATTACTCTCAAACAGAGGAGACTTAACTGAATCAATAGACATAAATATATTTTGGCTTAAGAAATCATATTCATTTAACAGGTCTACTTTAGTGGAGACTTAACAAATGGTTTTTAGGCCATATCAGTCTATAGCATTCCAACTAAAAGAAACATTTTTTCAGAAAAACTTTTAGATCAAAGTGGCGGGGAAAACACCAATATTGAAGCAGACAAATCCAGCTAGTGGAAAGAGAGGTTTCTTTTAAAAGCAATAAAAGAAACACAAAAAGATATCAAAATACTCTCATGCAGGCAAGTTCCTTTTCTGTGTTCCCATTAAAGGTGCCTTGGATACTCTTGCAACTTCCAAGAGAACCTCTGTTGCTGATTTCAAAGGATGGGCAGGCTCCTACAAGAAGACCTGATCCTCCAGGTATTCTCGCCCTAAGCCATTTAAAATTTTAAAGATAGTCTTCAGCACTTTGAACTGAGCCTGGAAACAGATTAGCAGTCAGAGCCACACTGTTTATAACTAAAGCATGGGTTTTTGTCATCAGTCCTGCTTTCTAGAAATATACAGATCTGCTATGTGAAGGAGCCAACCCTCTTCTCCTCCCCAATGTCAGCATGGGCCTTCAGGTGGATTGAAAGACAGAAAAAACCCTAAGCTTATACTGTAATTTGCTGTTCTTACTTATTGTTCCAGGAGCACTTCCATTTTGTCCAGATTTAGCTTCCATTTCCTTTGCCACTCCCATAAAATAATTAAAAGTTTCCAGGTACAGAGGCTACCTCCTTATTGTTAGAAAACTCACTAATCAAACGAAGCAACATCTCTTCCCGCTTGGCTCTACACAGTAATTATTTGGGAATATCTTTGCCGACTGTATTATTATTTTTTATCATGCTTGATGCATGGCCTCCTATCAGTTGAATCAATCCTCACCCTAGCAAACCTAATGGCAAAGCAGTAGTTTGACTCTGTCATAATCTCTAACACATCTTATTCTTTAGCATGTAATGAAGCTTGAATGCATTCAGTAATCTCACAGTCATCAGTGACCAATAACATTCTGGAAATTGTGGTTCAGAAAAGTAACCTTTCCAAGCTCTTTCTGCTCCCCTTTGGATGGCCATTTCAAGACCCTTGGGCTACTGTGTCTGGGTTTCTGCACCTACCTGTAGTGCTGAAACATATCAGTCATATATGTGTATATGTTTCAGGTATAAGATTACATGCAGAGGGACTTAATTCAGAGTAAAAGTAAGACCGCACTGTAAATTAGACATGCTTTAATCCTACTGAAATCAGTTAGCTGCATCAAACAGAACATGACTAACATCATCTGACTCAAACTCTGTATTATAGATTATTGTTAGTGGACAGCAGATACAACAGATGCAGTATAAAATCTGGACAGTCACCCTTGTTTCCATAGACTAGACTCAGAAGCAGACTTCTGGCTTCCTTGGATATTCTTTGGATATTTGCTAAAAGCTCAGTGTCCACTGGATGAAGCCAGGTGACAACAGTTATAAAGGAAGTTGTTATGTCAAACTCTACATTATACAGTATTTCTATTAGGCTCAATATTAAAATAAGGATTTGTTTTCTGGAGAATTTTCATGTCCTTATAAAAGAAATCTTAGCTGTCCTCTCTCTTCTCCTTACACTGCTCCTCGCTCTACTCAGACTTCTGCTTCCTCAATTCTCTGCCTCATCTCTTCTCCCTTTCTTTGTTGCTGGGTGCTTCCCTCCAATCTCTACTGTCTTCTTACTTCTTCCTCCAACCTCTACTTTCTTGTCATTGCACTTGGTAATGTGAATATACCAGTTTATGACACCAGTCGCAGTATCCATAAAAATGGATTTTTGACTCTGGGTGAAGCATTAGCTAATATTGGAAGGATTGTAAAAACAAGGGAAATGTAAAGCAAGACATTGTAAATTGGAGATCCCCTGTATATCATAAGAAAAGCTCTACTATAACAGGAGAAAAAGAATAAGGGTTGGATCATGTATTGAGACGTCACTTCTATGGAACCCATTAGAACAATTTAGAATTCAAGGAAAAGAAGAACATTTCCTTCTACCAATGTGTTGGCAAAAGGTGGTGGGTTCAAAAACAAAGCAACATATCATGGCATTTTAGCAAATTTGTTTCAGTGTGAGCTTTCATGGATCAAAACCCACTTCTTGAAGCATAAGTGGATTTTGATCTGCGAATGCTCACACTGGAACAAATTTGTTAGTCTTTAAAGGGCCACAGTATTTTGTCCTTGCCCACTTTTTCCTCCCCTCTTCTGTCCCCATTAATGTTTTCAACATGCTGAGGCAGGCTAACATAGCTACTTCTTTGGAAACACTTCTGGCAAGTTTCAAGGATTGTTCTGATGAGGGAAAAGAAGCCTCAGAGACTGACTGACTTTCCAAAGAAGGAAAAGGAAGCACGGTAAATTATTTGATACCATTATTTGTGGATATTAACAATTCAGAGTAAAGTCATCATTTCTTTTATCTCCAAAAATAACCCCTCAAAACGAACAAAATCCAATAGAATGATCAGGAAGAGCCACGTTCCACAGTGGAGACAAAATTCAATGAATATAATTTAAAAATCAAAAGTGAGAGTGAAGTCTAGAAACTGAGGGAACAGCTTAGCTTTTCTAGCCCAGAAATGTTTAAAGTCTACTCAAGTTTAATACCCTGAGGATGTCTCAGCTGCAGGTAGTTACAAATGCCCATAAACCTTCCATAAATAATATTTTAGAAATCAAGAAGCTATGAATCCAAGGGAACTACCTAAATGACTCAGAAGGTTTTAGATCAGATCTCTTGCCTGCATGTGAGTGTATGAATCATACACACCCTCTGCAGCCATTTATAGGAGTATGTCCCATTGTTAGAAGCAGAGATGAGGAAAGTCACTTTGAATGTCACTGCTTGTGCTGGTTTGGAGTATTTCAGAATTTGTTGTCCAAAAAGGTAACATCTCATCTCTGTGTACAAGATGATCTTGATTTTAGCAATACAAAATCTGAGAGAACTGAACTTTCAAGTCTATAGTATCCTATTTAGAATAAATAAAACTATATCATTTTCTGTTTCTGCTCTGAGCTCTTTGATGAGTCCCCAATAAAGGAAAAAGTCAAACCAGTAAAGTGAAGTCTTACGTAGGAAGTCACTTTTTCCCTCAGACTATGGCAGCTCTTAGCATTTATGGATTGCTAGTCCTACTCCTACAACCGTAGTGAAATCACTGTGGGAACAGATCATGCTGCTATTAAAATAGCCTTTCAACAAGGAGAAAGCCAGATAATTGTGGCTTTTTAATTACATTATTTTATTATTATTGTATTATTTCCAGCTGTTACTGTAATTGTACTTTTTTTCCTGGAAAGCCATTTTGCATTATTTGTAAATAAAAAGCGGAATAAAATGCTATTAAATAAATAAATAAATAATTTCTGTTAAAAGACAGAAGAGGAACAGAGGTCGTATGTGCTCTTGGGCCAATGAATAATCTTCAAAGAAAAATCCAGCTAAGTATTTTTTTTGAAATGGCAAAGCATTGTTGTGAAAAAGAGGTGCAGAAAGGAATGCAAAATTAGTACAGAGAATTCCAGCATACTTAATTTTAAAAGTGATGCAGAGTGGACCGTTGGTCCAGATAGGCAGGATAAAAATCAAATAAATAAATAAATAAATAAATTTACTTTAACCTTGGAAAGGAAGAGTTTTCTTTAACATAATTGATTTTATCCATTAGGATCCCATTACCTTTTAGCTGGGTGCAGTACCATGATGATTTTGCTATTCTGCCCAACTGTGGCTTTAGATGAAATTCCTACTTCAGTGAGAAGAGTTGCTGGGTGCACATTCAGGTTCTGGAAAGGGAAGCAAAGAGAAGTCCAATCAAAACACAGATGAGGATCAAATAAGGCAAAGTCCAGTAAAAACAGGTAACACTCTTCGTAAGTCCATGTGCCTGCCTAACCTAACTGAAACATTACTCAAACAATGAACCTAGACAGAGCCTTAAATAGAGCTACAACTCCATCTGTATTGATGGCTCCACCCTCCAGTCAGCAAAGTCATACCAGTTAAAGGACCCTATCTTGTTTCAGTGGGTGATGGCAGGAAGAGGTCTGTGTTTCTGTTGTGGCCAAGGGACTGAAGTCCATGGGTAGCAATATGATCTCTTGAAACCAATTATGCTAGTAATATCAGTTTCTCTTGAGCTGGAGCTTCTAGGGTAGCATGAGTTCTGAGAGCAGACCTCAAGTCTAAAGGCCAAACTGTACATTATAGATAACTCACCATTAGAGCTGAAATCCTATTAGTGTTCTGGAGATATGATTCTAGTAGATCTTCATGTCTGAGAAAATCAATTTGCAAAGAAGGTCAACGTACAATCACAAAACAAGGCAAGATGATTTGCAAACTACAGGAGGCAGGAAAAAATCTTGTGACAGTAAGATACTTCAGCAAATAAGGAATTCCCTTTTCTGATAATAGGTTATCTAAAATATATAGTTTGACCATAAGACAGCTTCTGAATCCACAATCTTGTCATCTGAATATGGGGTCTACACTGTCAGATCTTCTCTACTAATACTGTCTTTGCTGAAGGTTATTGTATATCTCATTCACAGTTTCATCTTGGGTGACAAGTTATGTGGCAAGATAGCACAACATTAAAAAACAGAAAAGAAGGTTGTGGGAAAGAAGAATAAATAAAATATCCTCCATGCAGTTATCACTTAGAGCAGCCAACCTTTTTGGAACCGCGGACCAATTGGGGGGGCTCCATGGGGGGGACAGGGGCACCCCGATGCTCACAGGTCAGTGTGTTGCACTTGCGGGTGGGCATGTCACACTCACCGGGGCCGTGTTGCACTCGTAGCGGCGTGTTGCACTCATGACACTCCCACCTGCGTGGGCGACACACCTGCCTGAGAGCATGACACGGCCACCCACTAGCACAACACACCCACCATGCATGCATACAGGGGGGCAGAGAACTGTCTCAGCAGCCCAGTCCTGGGAAGCCCACAGAATGGCACCAGGCCGCAGACCGGGGGTTGGGGACCCCTGACTTAGAGTAGTGTTCGCAACCTGAGATCCCCAGATCTTCTTGGACTACAACTCCCAGAAATCCTGGCAAGCACAACTGGTGGTGAAGACTTCTCAGAGTTTTTGTCCAAAAACATTTGAGGACTCAAGACTGGGAACCACTGTCTTAGAAAATTGACATTCTACATCTACATGCTTACCTTGCAACTTTCTCCACAATCCTAGTGAAAATGCAGCTTTTTCACCACTGTCTACATGTTATGCATGGGTAGTAGGCTGCTATTAGTGCAAGTAACAAAATGGATGACTTTCAACCAGAGCTTTTAAGAATTACTTTGCTGGCTATGGGATTCTGG